CTCCCATTTATCTATAACACAGTTCTGTGAAATGTCCTGTTTGTTATTATAAAAATGTACATGTTTTATAACATTACCATTTTGTTATATTTGAGAAAATGTCTGATCTAACATTTTGTAAAATTAAAATGTCAAGTTTTTGTGTAATAAAAAATATGGGTTTTTTGGCATTTCAGGACAGTTAATAAAATTCTTTCTGCAGCACTTTTGTCTTTGTTTCATAGGGTACTAGAAACCTCTTATACACTCCATTTTAATAACATTTTTGTGAACATTTTGTGCATAAAGGAAGGGTACATCACACAAGTCACAAAAATAAAACTCTTATCAACTTGCCAAAGTGTCACTATAAGATGAATCAGTAGGTGAAACTGACTTGCAGTAAGCAGTGTCCTGATGCTCAAGGTCAGGTGTGAGCACATTCAACAGATGGTCAAAGCAAAAAAATGCTGAGAAATATAGGCAGTTGCGTATCCATAATGTGATGTGATTGGCCCAAAATGTATTCTGCAGAAGGACAACTACCCCAGACATACAGCCAATGTCATGTTCAGTGTAAAAGAACAAGGAGTTCTGGAAGTGATGGTTTCAATCCTATAGAGCCCTGATTTCAACAGCAAGTCTGGGATTACAAGAAGCGACATAAGGATTTGAGGTAGCCTACATCCACAGGAGATTTGTGATTAGTTCTCCAAGATGTTTGGAACAACCTGCCTGCTGAGTTTCCTTCAAAAACTGTGTGCAAGTGTACTTAGAAGAATTAATGCTGTTTTGAAGGAAAGAGGTGCTCACAACAAATATTGATTTGATTTGAATTTCTCTTTTGTTCATTTATTCTCCATTTAGTTGATATAAATAAACTATGAACACTTCTATTTCTGAAAGCATTTTTAATTTACAGCATTTTCCACACCTGCCAAAGACTTGCACAGTATGTGTGCGCGCGCTCGCTATATATATATATATATATATATATGGAAATAAGTATTTGATCCCCTGCTGATTTTGAATGTTTGCCCACTCACAAAGAAATGATCAGTCTAAAAATCGAATTGTAGATGTATTGTAACACTGAGAGACAGAATGGCTACAAAGAATTCAAAAGAAATGCATGTCTAACAAATTATGTACTGATTTGCATGTTTATGAGGGAAATAAGTATTTGATCCCCTTCACAAAACATGACTTAGTACTTCACAATCACAGAGGTCAGATGTTTCCTGTAGTTGGCCACCAGGTTTGCACACATCTCAGGAGGGATTTTGGTTTACTCCTCTTGGCAGATCCTGTCCAAGTCATTAAGGTTTGGTGGCTGGCGTTTGGCAACTTGAACTTTCAGCTCTCTCCACAGTTTTTCAATCAGAGTAAGGTCTGGAGACTAGCTAAGCCTCTTCAGGACCTTAATGTGCTTCTTCTTGAGCCACTCCTTTGTTTCCTTGGCCGTGTGTTTTGGGTCATTGTCATGCTGAAACACCCATCCACAATCCATTTTCAATGCCCTGGCTGAGGGAAGAAGGTTCTCATCTAAGATTTGATGGTACATTGCCCTGTCCATCGGCCCTTTTGATGCGGTGCAGTTGTCCTGTCCCCTTAGCAGAAAAACACCCCCAAAGCAGAATGTTTCCACTACCATGTTTGACAGTTGGGATGGTGTTCTTGGGGTCATAGGCAGCATTCCTCCTCCTCCAAACACGTTGAGTTGAGTTGATACCAAAGAGCTCGATTTTGGTTTTATCTGACCACAACACTTTCAACCAGTCGTCCTCTGCATCATTCAGTGGCAAACCTCAGACGGGTCTGGACATGTGCTTTCTTGCGCAGAGGGACCTTGCGGGCACTGCAGGATTTCAATCCTTGTCGGCGTAGTGTGTTACCAATTGTTTTCTTGGTGACTGTGGTCCCAGCTGCCTGGAGATCATTGACAAGATCCTCACGTGTAGTTCTGGGATGATTCCTCACTGTTCTCATGATCATTGACACTCCACGAGGTGAGATCTTGCATGGTGCACCAGACCTAGGGAGACTGACAGTTGTTTTGTGTTTCTTCCATTTGTGAATGATTGCACCAACTGTTGTCACCTCCTCACCAAGCTGCTTGGCAATAGTTTGGTAGCCCAGTCCAGCCTTGTGTAGGTCTACAATCTTGTCCCTGACCTTCTTGGACAACTCTTTGGTCTTTGCCATGGTAGAGAGTTTGGAATCTGATTGATTGCTCCTGTGGACAGGTGTCTTTTATACAAGTAACAAAATGAGATTAGCAGCACTCCCTTTTAAGAGACTGCTTCTAATCTCAGCTTGTTACAGTGGGGCAAAAAAGTATTTAGTCAGCCACCAATTGTGCAAGTTCTCCCACTTAAAAAGATGAGAGAGGCCTGTAATCGGCATCATAGGTAGACCTCAACTATGAGAGACAAAATGAGAAAAACAATCCAGACAATCACATTGGCTGATTTGGAAAGAATTTATTTGCAAATTATGGTGGAAAATAAGTATTTGGTCAATATCAAAAGTTCATCTCAATACTTTGTTATATATCCTTTGTTGGCAATGACAGAGGTCAAATGTTTTCTGTAAGTCTTCACAAGGTTGGCACACACTGTTGCTGGTAGGTTGGCCCATTCCTCCAGGCAGATCTCCTCTAGAGCAGTGATGTTTTGGGGCTGTCGCTGGGCAACACAGACTTTCAACTCTCCAAAGGTTTTCTATAGGGTTGAGATCTGGAGACTGGCTAGACCACTCCAGTACCTTGAAATGCTTCTTACGAAGCCACTCCTTTGTTGCCCGGGCGGTATGTTTGGGATCGTTGTCATGTTGGAAGACCCAGCCACGTTTCATCTTCAATGCCCTTGCTGATGGAAGGAGGTTTGCACTCAAAATCTCACAATACATGGCCCCATTCATTCTATCCTGTACATGGATCAGTCGTCCTGGTCCCTTTGCGGAGAAACAGCCCCAAAGCATGATGTTGCCACCCCCATGCTTCACAGTGGGTATGGTGTTCTTTGGATGCAACTCAGCATTCTCTCTCCTCCAAACACGATGAGTTGTGTTTCTACCAAACAGTTCTATTTTGGTTTCATCTGACTATATGACATTCTCCCAATCCTCTTCTGGATCATCCAAATTCTCTCTAGCAAACTTCAGACGGGCCTGGATATGTACTGGCTTAAGCAGTGGGACACGTCTGGCACTGCAGGATCTGAGTCCCTGGTGGCGTAGTGTGTTACTGATGGTAGCCTTTGTTACGTTGGTCCCAGCTCTCTGCAGGTCATTCACTAGGTCCTCCCGTGTGGTCCTGTGATTTTTGCTCACCGTTCTTGTGATCATTTTGACCCCACGGGGTGAGATCTTGCATGGAGCCCCAGATCAAGGGAGATTATCAGGGGTCTTGTATGTCTTCCATTTTCTAATTATTGCTCCCACAGTTGATTTGTTCACACCAAGCTGCTTGCCTATTGCAGATTCAGTCTTCCCAGCCTTTTGCAGGTCTACAGTTTTGTTTCTGGTGTCCTTCGACAGCTCTGTGGTCTTCACCAGAGTGGAGTTTGGAGTGTGTGACTGTTTGAGGTTGTGGACAGGTGTCTTTTATACTGATAACAAGTTCAAACAGGTGCCATTGATACAGGTAATGAGTGCAGGACAGAGGAGCCTCTTAAAGAAGAAGGTAAAGGTCTGTGAGAGCCAGAAATCTTGCTTGTTTGTAGGTGACCAAATACTTATTTTCCACCATAATTTGCAAATAAATTCTTTCCAAATCAGCCAATGTGATTGTCTGGATTTGTTTTTCTCATTTTGTCTCTCATAGTTGAGGTCTACCTATGATGCCAATTACAGGCCTCTCTCATCTTTTTAAGTGGGGGAACTTGCACAATTGGTGGCTGACTAAATACTTTTTTGCCCCACTGTACCTGTATGAAAGACACCTGGTAGCCAGAAATCCTGCTGAATGAAAGGGGATCAAATATTTATTTTCCTCATGAACATACAAATCGGTGCATAATTTGTTAGACATGCATTTCTTTTGAATTTTTTGTTGCTATTCTGTCTCAGTGTTACAATACACCTATCATTCGATTTTTAGAATGATCATTTCTTTGTGAGTGGGCAAACATTCAAAATCAGCAGGGGATCAAATACTTTTTTTCCTTCACTATCTATATATATAGTGAAGGTCATTATACAGTGTCCAAAATTTGGCACTTGCTTTCTTGTTCCATCAGCAGTGGATGTGCCCAATAATCTTTTCTGACAAGTACGTAGTCTTAAGAAGTGCAGTGACTATCAGCATAAATAATGCAGCCCATAGAGGAGTCCGTGGTTGAATGAAAAAAATGTTCCCCAAGCCATCAGTTTGATGTGGATGGGAGAATCCTCTTGTTGAGCTATTGAATTCTGAGACTGGGGAGACTGCTAAAGCCAGTGGCACAGAAGTGGGGAAAATCTGACAGGGTGGTTGTACAGAGCTCATTCGGTAGATCAACGTAGGTGCTACCTCACTGCCCATACATGCATCAAAACCTAGCTGGTTCCCGCTGAACCAGCCGATTATCGATCTATGTATGGCCAGGTTAAGCCTGTAAGGGTAAACATTGTTTGTAATATGCAGATTCTCTACGCAGCTGAACTCGCTAAACAATGGAGACGTCCCATGGAAAAGTAGGAAAGGAAAGCATTTTCCTAATTAAAATAAAGATTTTTCAACTCAAAATCACAAAAAGGAAAAGAAAAACGCAGTGGAGCACATTGAAAACTAATGTAAACGTGTAAGAAGAAACCTATCTGGAATGCACAAATTGTGGTGTGAACCAGTCCTGCGAGGGTGATTAAATTAGTAGGCATTACTCTTGGTCCTTCTTATATTAGCTTTATTTTACAGGGTTCACAAGTATCAGTACAAAACCTCCTGAGCTCATAGCAATGGTTTGCCTGCTGAAACTGAGCAAACAGTTTTGTAGTCTTTAATGATAATAGAATTGTGAAAAATGTTTGTTTTTCACTAGGTATTAATAACTGAGCATGGAGACCTTGGTAACGGGAAGTTTTTGGATCCAAAGAACAAGATTTCATTCAGATTTGATCACTTACGAAAGGAAGCCAGTGATCCCAGGCCCCATGAAGGAGAAAATGCCATAGAATCTTGGAGGGCTGTTGTGGACACTGCAGTGAGAACCTATGTGAAAGATCATTATCCTAATGGAGTTAGTACTGTAAGTAGAAATACATATTTGCATTGACAGATTATTTCTCCTAATGGTGGATATTTTCATAAAACTATAGTTTTCAGTCATATAGCCCTCTTAAGTGGCATTTTACCTAATTTAATTTAAATTATGTTTGTTAACTTAGGTATATGGCAAAACAATTGATGGACAGCAAACAATAATTGTGTGTATTGAGAGTCATCAGTTTCAAGCTAAAAACTTTTGGTAAGTCTTTTTTTTTTTTCTTAGACATTTTGAAGGCACAATTTCTTAGGTTTTGAATTCCCCAGTAGTTGGCAGCTTCATATGCAGCTTTGCAGACTTTGTATGTCCTCTTTCTAGGGTGTATACACGTTTTATTGCATTGCTAGAAACCATGTAAACACATTCCAACATATGCATTTTACACGTTTACATGCATTCTTTATGTGAATTAGCCTTATGTCTAAGAAAACAGTTTGCCTACCTTCACTATTAGGCTCCATGCACACTGGGCGTTTTAAAAACGCTGATAGCGTTAGCTGTGTAAAGTCACGCTTTTGCATTAGCATCTTTCCGCATTTGCCTTTTTTAGCTTTTTTTTTTTTTTTTTTGCTCAAAAAAAGGTCAAAAACGCCGGTTTGTCACATTTTACCGCGTTTTACCACATTTTTCAACGTTAGAATATTTTTACAGCTTAAAAAAACTCTAGAAACCCACTCGTTTTGGGGTTTTTTTTCGGCCAAAAAACGCCCCTGTCAAAAACCGCTGATTACAGCCCATGTGTGCATGGACACATAGGATAACATGCTGGGGAGTTTACTGGCTGTAGAAAAAACACCAAAAGCCAAAAACAGCAGCTGTAAAAACATCCAGTGTGCATGAGGATTAATCTGCAATCTCCTTGCTTCTATTTACATTCTTCTATACTGCTGGAGAAACCACTCTTGGACACCACTAGAGGGGGCTCTGCATTGGTCTGAATGAGCTGACCGATTCCTGTCTCCTCAGGCTTTCCTGGCTGGGGAAGTAACCTTTGCAGTACAGTAAACTACATATTATTATTATTATTACTACGAGTTTATATAGCGCCAAAGGGTTTGCTCAGCGCTGTACAATAGGGGGGACAATACATGGCACAGTACAACAACAACAAACAACATACGAGGATATAAAAAAAGCAGGTGCAACATATGAGGCAGGCATACTGGTCTCTTCAGACAAAATGTATAATACAAGGATTTTATCCTTTATTTTCCCATTCATTCCTAATATGCTTTTCAGCACTATTTGCTGAAAGGTTTTAGATATATTTAAATTTTTTTCATTATATGCATGCTTCAGTGTTTATAGAAGGTCTAAATTTGTTGCATTCAGAACATATTTTTGTAGGCACTGGGGAAAACATTTTTGAAAGCCTAAGGGTTCAATAACGCCACATCAGTCTTATCTGCACAGATCAATGCAGGCTCAATCCCATATTGCTGCAGTACTCAAAAGTTAATTAGATGTGGTTTTGCAACATTTTAATAATGTTTTCCTTTTAAAAAAAACTAGTTGCTTTTGATGTAGCAACACAATGCACAAGCCTTGCACCTGTTTTAGCACATGAATGAGCCTTTAGGAACCATTTATACATGCATGGACAGTTGTTGCACTGTAAACCACAGCAGTTTACTGTTCGGCAACTGCAGTGGATCACGCAGTTTTCTTCTTCTTCTTCTTCTTCTTCTTCTTCTTCTTTTTTTTTTTTTTTTTCAAACTTTATTTGAATTGCGCTAAAGTGACACTTCATGTCACTGTACAGCAACATGGTGCATTGCGTGGCATGCAATCCTGTCCAGTACACTGCAATAAAATGTATCATGTCTGCATTCTAGCACAGATCACTATAGTGTTTCAATGTGAATAGGACACACAGTAAACCGTTGTGATCCGCATTGATCCACCGGTCACTACAGTGTGTGAATTGGCCCTTACAGTTCAGCCAGATGCAAAAAAAGAAAATAAACCGAGATATGTACATGCTTTAACAAATGCAGGTGGTTGTAGACAATTTGTATACTAGTATTTTTGTATGCAACTTGTAGCAGAGTGGCTATAACTGTAAATAGTTGGTGGGGAAAGAACAAACAGAGGGCGCACAGGCCTAGTGCATTACCATAAAAAATGTTTAATAAAAAATAAAGTAGGTGTTGTACTCACAAACGACAATGTAGTCAAGGCACATCATAAAAGAACAGCTGGGTCAACACCGCGCTGAGTAACAGTCCGCAATAGGGAGTGTAGACATCCAATAGGCTGACGCGTTGGATGTCTACACTCCCTATTGCGGACTGTTACTCAGCGCGGTGTTGACCCAGCTGTTGTTTTATGATGTGCCTTGACTACATTGTCGTTTGTGAGTACAACACCTACTTTATTTTTTATTAAACATTTTTTATGGTAATGCACTAGGCCTGTGCGCCCTCTGTTTGTTCTTTCCCCACTCAGTATATTTGGATTCCCCCGGTCCATTTGAGGGCAGCAAGGTGTGCGTGTTTCCAGGACATTCTTAATGTGGTTGTAGCCTGCATCGAGTCCATCCCCAAGCGCAGGAGCATTTGTGTTTGCTGGTTCTTTGTAAATAGTTGGTAATAGATTGGTTTTGCCAACCCTGACCCAGAAAGTACTGAGACCGGAGTGCTTTCAGGTCACACTTTTGCTGAGGGGACTAGGAAATCAAAACCAGATTGGTTTCAGACTCAGAAGAGCAAGGACAGCCTAGGAACCTTGATGGAGAGAGGGCCTGCAAGAGAGGAAGATCACACATGTAAATGGCCCGAGTTTAAAAGTGATCGAAGGTCCACTGTTCTCTTGCGTTCATTAAAGGACACAACCCAGCAGTATTTTTGACTGTAGGGTTATAGTGCTATCTTCAGGAGTAGTACACTAGGCTGGGAAAAAAATGCTGCACCGCACCTGCTATAGGCATGTACATTTTCAGCCTAATGTTGATTAGTCAGAACCTAAGCTTCGTGCTTGGAATCCCTGGTCCCTTTTTTTTGCATCATCCTCTTTGGATGGTGGGCAGCCTGTGAATGTTCCTCAGGTGGGAGTACACATGACCAATCGGCTCTTGGCTGGTTTCTCTCAGTGTACCCCCAGGCGGACAGCTCCCTGCTTAGGCTGTAAGGCATCCTGTCAGGGAAGGTACCCCCTGTCCGCCTTAGGATGAGGTAAGTGGACATACCCTTCTCTTCCCCTGTACATTTAGGGCACCTCTTTCCCCTTGTCTTCCCACGTTTTTAGTGTACCATGTGCTGGCTGTGACACCCTTGTATCAGAACACAGCTTGGAGGACATGGTGTTGCTGGACGTGAGTCCTACTCATGTTACCAGACAAGACGGCCATGGGCAGCCCCCCGGTTTCAGCCAGAGGAGGTTCGCTGGTGTCTGGGTGACTCTGCTGACATTTTAGGGCCCTTCCCCCCTCCCCTTGGTGTGTTGTGGGGGTGTGCAGTGCAGGCCTCCAGTCCTGCACTGTGGGAATACTGTCTCTTCATTTGCTGCTGGTGGGCAAGGGTGTATCCTAGACAAAGGTGACCCCCTCTGTCTCAGCCTGAGGGAGACTACTGATACTGGGCATCTGCTAACACATGGGTCTCTCCACCCTCAACCCTTCCCTGGGGGGTATGTTGAGCCAGTGGCTGTGAGTTTGTTTTTTCTGCCATTGACAATGCGGGTGGTACTCTGAGCTCACCCTTCCCTGCCCTGCATTCCCCAGCACCCTCCCTCCCCCCCAGTTGGGGGGGTGTATGTGGTTTTAACGGCCGCTGTGTTTTGCACAGGTAGGGTTGTGGATGAACAACCTCACAATGAAGTTGTTCCTAGCACCCTCCCTGTTTTAATTCAGGGAACTGCCTGTCTGGTGATAATAAGGTTTGTTTATGGTACGTTGTGCAGCTCCAGCACTGCTCACCTCCTTAGGTATGTTGCGTTTTCAGAGGAATTATTGCCCTCTTGCAGCTCCCTACTGGGACTTCCTTGTCCTTTTGGCTAGGGTCTGGCTGCTCCCTCTGTGGCTATGTGGGGACTGGTGGCCCTGGTTTAGCTCATCCTCCCTGTCGGGGTTTGTGCAGCCTGTTTTTCTCCTGCTTGAATCGCCTATCCAAGGTGACTGCCCCTGGCACTGTTCTCTTCTGCTAGCACAAATGTTTCTAGAACATTCCATGATACCAAGGTCTGACTCATGTTATATTTTGCTCTTAATTTTGCACAGTGCTAAAGGCCAACTCTGGCAATCCCACATACCCATGGTGGCACAGGCCCTCTCGGCCTGCGGACAGGTCCTCCATATTCATATTAGGTGGGGGGGTCATCTTCTCTGGTTCGCAGATCTTTGGATCATCATAACTCCATGGTCTTTCCATCTTTACTTTGCAAAGTTACCTAGCGATCATGGGCTTGCTTCCTCTAGAAGTGATTACTCTGATACCCGGTCCTGGGAGGTTTGGGGATTTCTAACTTGATCGGTTTACAATACTTAAGAAGGATGGTGTGCAGCCTATTCTGGATCTCTAGGCCCTCAACAACATTGTGAAAGTTTGTAATATCTAGAAGGAATCTGTCCGTTCCATAGTGGCCTCTTTCCCTCAAGGGCTGTATTGTCTTCAAGGATGCATACCTGCGAGGCACTGACATTTTCTGTGCTTTGTGATGGGTGAGGGATCACTGCCACTTTTTCGCTTTTCCTCTTGGTTTGACCTCTGCTCTCTCGGGTTTTACCAAAGTACTGATCCTGTTCCAGGATTTCAGCTGGATCCTGAATGTCAAAAAGTCTTTTCTGATTTCAACCAATCAGTTGGGAGTACTTGGGTCTGATCCTGGTCTAGACGTGGGCCAATGTGTTTTTTTGCCAACAGACAATATTTGAAAGTTCGAACTTCGATTCAGTAGTTACTGTCCTGCACAGGGTCCTCTCTACATTTCTGTATGCATGCTTTGGACCTCTTGGTTTCCACCTGTGAGGCAGTCCTGCATGCTCAGTTCTACATTTGAGTTCTGCTGATGGCAATTCTAACTATATGGGATAGGTCCTCTTCGTCGTTGGATAGATAAATGCAGTTGGTCAAGTCCTCCCTTCACTGGTGGCTTTGTTCGTTCCTCTTCATTGGAACATGGTCACGACTGATGCCAGCTAATTCAGGCCTGCAGGCGAACAGGACTCTCAGTTGCCTATCAGTGCTCTAGAGCTAAAGGCGATCAGGTCTGGTCTGTTTCATTAGCTGGAGCATCTTCAGAGACGTCTAGGATATTGCTCTTCATTCCTTACCTGTGGTTTGGGCTATTCATGGTATCCATGTGCAATGGCATGGAACACAGGACCATGACCTCAAACTAGCCAGAGGAAAGTTCCAACCCACTATGCTTGGAACAGACCTCCAGCAGAAGCATTGAGTCACAGTCACCAGCAAACTAAATTTTAACATGGGATTGCAGACACCGCACCCCCCCATCATAACCAGAACATTCCACAAATACAACCATTAAGGAAGAAACCATTAGGCAGATTGTGGCAAGAAATGGCCACGGCACTTTATTGGTGTTACACAAAATAAACCATGTACAAAACCACAATAACTGTTGATGAAATTCAAACATGCAACATGCAAAATATAATTAAACACCTTCTTCTGGCTCAGTTATTGGAACTCGAGCCATCACATAACACATCTGCACTTCTGAAAACGTCCCCTACCCGCCGGCCTTGTGAACAGCCGGTAACGTTATCCATGTGCCCCTTCCCAGCTGATCAGTCTTAGAGTGACGCAAAAACAGCCGTACCAACGAATCATCGACCACAACATGCTCAGACAAGAGTCCTGAAAAAGCATGCCTGGACAGCGGAACCAGCTGGATATTCTAAAAGCCCCAAAAAACATCAGGGAAAATGCAGTACGAAAAAGCAAAGCCTCGTAATCGGAAAAAGCGGACCACCGAAGTACATAGGTCAGCCAAGAGTGCCATAGAAATAGGTCTACGCTCATCAGGCACAAACCTGGACTTCCGATAACTTCTCAACACCTGTTTAATCGAAAAGAACTAGGTACAAGAAGGGAGGCCAGATAGTTTGAGAAAAAAGGAAACTCCGGACAATATCTTATACACGTGGCCAAAGGAGTAACCACAGCGCATCAGGGATGTCAAAAAGGATGCGATGGCCAATTCAGAGGGGGAATTGGGCAGAAAGCCCCAATTATGCACAAAGAAAACCCACCTCCTTCATGCCGCTGAATAATCCACCCAAGTGTGAGGAACGATTGAATTCTTTAACGACTCCCGCAAAAGGTTCATATCAGGTCCCACAGGTGTGATGGACAGCTGAGGCCAATCTCGTCCGCCTCCGGTAACAATTGTCGAAACCTGGATACCTGAAAACGAGACAGCGAATCTGCCAGAATATTAGAAAACCCAGGAACATACTGCGCTTTATGCCAGATGTTAAATTTTAAACAGAGAAAAACTAAGTGTCGCAAAAGCTGTACAACAAACAACGATTTAGAGGATAAGCAAATCACCGCAAACACCACACCCTTTTTGTCGGTACTCACCAAAATCCTTTTGTCAGCAAATTGCATACCCCAAAGCTCCAGAGCCACCACCACTGGGAACAGTTCCAGCAACACGAAAACCCCTGGAACCAGCAGCATCAGTTGCCAGCGAAAAATCCTGACACAGTCAGCCTGAAAAAAAGTCCTACCATTGTATTCCAACAGGAAATTAGCCCAAACCAACAGGTCTTCCTTTAAGGCCCGGGTGAGGCGTAAATGAGCAGAGGGGGACTTATAACCTGAGGTAGCAAGATACAAATGCCTGGAAAAGATCCGACCAGCCGGAATAACCCTGCAAGCAAAAGCCAGGAGCCCCAGCAAAGCCTGCAACTCCTTCAACAAAACTTTTTTCCGGCGAAGAAAAGCTAAAATCTGCGACTGGAGTTTCAACAACTTCACCTGCGGCAGCCGGAGTTTCATCGCCACCGTATCAAGAAGAATTCCGAAGAACTCCAAAGACGTAGATGGCAGGCAAGTTTTTTCAGTCGCTAAAGGAACACCAAAGTGGTCCATGAGCACGCAAAACAACTGAAGCAAATTTGAACACAATGCCGACTCCGGGAGACCAATGAACAAAAAATCATCCAAATAGTGGACAACGCCATCCCATCCAGCCTCGGCAACGAGCTCCCAATGGAGAAAAGTTTGAAAACGTTTCAAAATAGGCACAGGACAAAGAACAGCCCATGGGAAGGCTTTTATTGAAATAAAAAGCACCGTCAAAATAAAACCCCAGAGAATTAAAAGCCGACGGGGAGACAGGCAACAGCCGAAATGCAGATTTGATATCCGTCTTGGCTAGCAAAAAAGCACGAATCTGAACTACGGTGTCCTCAAAGGTCGCATAGGACACTGAACACAAAAAACCATCAATCTCGTCATTCAACGAAGAGCCCTTGGGAAAAGAAAGGTGGTGTATCATACAGAAAGCGTTAGGCTCCCTCTTAGGAACCACCCCCAAAGGAGAAATCCGAAAGTCCCGAAAAGGTAGACTAGGAAAGGGGCCCACCACACAGCCTTCAGCAACCTCTTTGTCAATCTGTTTTCAAACAACCTGTGGGAATTGGAGTACGGACTTCCAATTATCTACCGTCCGGCAACCCTCGCCCAAAAAAGAAGGCAGAGGAAAACCAAAAAGAAGGAACTGAGCCTTCTCCCTGTCTGGATACCGATCCAGCCATAGACGCATGTTTTCCAGCTTCACCAGCGTGCAAGCTTTTCTGAAAACTATCCAGCTGGGACAAAGGAGACTCGCCCACCTTCCTGGGACACTTAAGCACAGGGTGATGACCTGCGCAAAAACAGCACTCGTGGCGATACTTGCACGCCACATTCCAACGACAATGGGAGTCATTAAAGGCAAAACAATAACCCCTCCTGAAAGCTGGAACTGGAGCTGCCGCGACTGGCTGTCTAGGCGCAAAAGGCTTCTGGGGCAAAATCAAATTAAGCCATAACCCCACATCCTTCATGCCCCACTTGAGGGCTGGGTGCACCAACAACTTTTGCCAAAAAGACTTGTAATGGTACAAGCCCAAACCCCCAAATTTCCTGTACACCTCAAAAACATGATCTAAATGTTGGAAAGGGCCACCACAGAGATCAGGGCGTTTCTCCGCCAACACTCTAGAAAATACACAAAAAGCCTGCAGCCAATTGTAAAAAGATCTAGGGGCCATCCTCCTCTCCTCCTCCCTACCCACCGCAAACCCGTCAGGCTTGCTAGCAAAATCCCTAAAAGTGGAGAGTAGGTTCAAAATGTCCACAAAATCCCCCCTCCAAATTTTTTCCATAACGGACAAGCTAAGGTGAAAACCGAGAGGGATACCTCACAAGGCAGCACCTCCTTCATGCATAACTCGGGGACGCTGGGCCTAGCTGGCAATGCTATGGGACTCGGGGGGGGGGCTATATGGCAAGGGAACATCCCCGGGACAGACAGCAACAGGGGGGACACACTGGGGTCAGGAGGGACAGCAGGAACCGGGGACACTGACTTCACCAGGGCAGACAGGGAGGCAACCAGGGAAGACAAAACCCCCCATGGGGAGACTCACCAGCAGCCGGAGGGTTTCCTGCAGCAGCCTGGGCAACCTCTCTCCGAGCAGCAACCGCAGGCTGGGCTTCTAGAGTCCCGGGAGCAGCGAGCGCCTCCTCCAGGATAGGTCCGCCTGCATCTGAAAAGCGCCGTGGGTCCACCATTGTTGGTTGCTCGGCAAACGGGGAAGCCGACTCCAGCAGGGATGCAGGCGCTGTCCAGCTCCTCCCACCGTGCTCACTGATAGGCTGCGGTTCATCAGCCCGCCTCTTGCTTCCGGCGGCTCCGACAGCCACGCCCCTCCAGGCTTCTGTCCTCCAGCTGGGCTCCAGAAAGATGGTGCTGTTCTACTTCCGCCCCTGCCACACGTCGTCCCGGCGGTTGGCTACGCTGCCATCCGCTGCGGCAGACTGGACCCCTGGCCACACTCCTGGGCACCCTCCGACCCTCTCCCGGCTCATCAGGCGACATCCCACTGCAGTTGGCCGGCTCAGGCGGGTCCCGGCTCTCTTCAGCCAGCGCCAGGCAGCAGCGCAGCCACTCCTCCCCGCCACCCGCTCTGCACCTTCTCCAAGAATCGCTGCAGGAGATTTTCTTCTGACATGGTAAATCTGTGTTCTTGCAGGGAGCTCTTCTGCTTGCAGGCTGGCCACGGATCCAAACGATCCAGGTGCCCCGTATATCTTGTCAGCCAGGAATTCTGCTTAACAAAATTTAAAGGGACCAACACCAAATTTCACCACACATGACAAACGTGCCATTTACCACTACAAACAAGCCCATTTGAGAGGGTAGGGGCGGGGGGCGGCCGCAATCCCACGAAAGTGGTCCCAAAGGTTTGCGCCCACTTTTGCCATTCTTGTGCAAACATAGACCTAAATGAGAAACAAAAATCAAAAAAGAGGCAGACTCAATGGACCACTTGTTTTTTTTTTTTTTTCTTCGCTCTGTTTCTGTGTTTCTATTCACAGTTTAATTCCTGCATGCAATGAGGAAATTAATGTATTGCTGTAATTTTGTTTTGAACAATAGTGTGATATGAAACTATTTGTTGTCCAAATTGTTTTCCAGGAATGGACGCTGGAGGTCAGAATGGAAATTTACCATAACACAATCTACTACAAAGGTGGTGGGAATTTTAAAAATTCAGGTATTTCATTGGTTTATCTACTGTGGTGGTAAACCATCTTACATTCATCAAAGTCCATTTTCTTCATCTAAGCATCATAAAAGTGTTTTTTTTTTCTGCGTACTTATATGTATGTATGTAAGAATTTTTTAAGATATTGTTTAAAGTGTTACTAAACACACAACATTAAAATCCGTATGTATATGCAGTAAAGTATGCTTGTTATACTCACTGTGGAACTTAAGGGTTTAATCCTCTTCATTGTGTAAAAAAGCCATTTGATCCTGTCTTCTGTGTTCCTCCCCTTGTTCAAACAACCACCTTTTATCTGCTGATAAGACAGACTGAACCCTGAGCATTTTGCACATGCTCAGTTTGGTGTGTATTGCTAGAGATTTTTTTTCTTGGGAAAGTGCATGTGATCAGCACAGGGCCAATCGGAACTAGACAAAGGTCAGGGGTTTTGCATCCCTCTAGAGCTGATAGAAGTCACAAGACTGCTCTAATTGCTGATGAGAAAAGGTATTTAGCAGTTTATATTTACTCAAATAATTGCATTTCCATGTTGTGTGTACTGTGGGAGACCAGATATAGTGGATGGAGGGTCCTGGGTTTAGTAACATTTTAACCAGTGGAATTGTATAGTTTTCTCATGTCATTGAAAGTGTTATTAAAAATTAACCTTGATTTCAATGCAGGTTCTGCAGCATTTCCCTGAAAGATAATTAAATGTTGTCAAATATAAATATTTTTCACTGGAGACATTGCAACATGTGATAAAACATCTCAAGGTGATTACATAGCGAATTAATAAACTGTTTCATTGAAGGTTGGAGAAACCTGATCTGAAGTAAAAGGTTAAAAACTCCAGTGAGCACTATTTCTGTCTATTATGGCCATTATAGTGTGTGAATAGCACTAGAATTTTTTTTTAAGAAACTTACTTGTTTTTTTTAATTACACTGGGGTTCAACCAAATGATTGTACACACTCTAAGAAAATCGGACAAACAATCATCCGGTTTTCCTCGATGTTTCACAGCAAGTCTAACCTGAGGATGGTACAAATTGTAAAAAAAAAATTCTCGTACAAAGGCTTGCTTTTTTTAATGTAGAAATGCTGTACCATAAATTGTTTGTTTCTGATCATATGCAAATATTTTTTATCTGATTTAAACGAAAATCATTCTGTTCCTGAACAGGACAAATTTTGGAGTTAATCTCTTTTGAAGTTTTTTTTTTTTTTTTAAAGTCTGAATCGAATGTCAAAAGTTGTGTACACACTATACGAAAATTGAACAATCGTTCCCTGTACAAAATGTTTCTCATACTGTAGTGTGTACCACACTATAAGGCTTCAGAATGTACACTTCCAGAGTGCATATCAAGTGCTAACTGCTTTCTTGCTGAAGTGGAATACACAATACTTGGATTGTGGTAAATTAAATGAACTTCCTAACTTTAACACGGTCTTCGTGCTTCCTAAATAGCATTAATTGCTTACCGATTGGTTACCATTGTGGCTTGCATATCATTCATTAAATCATTTGACAAGGTAATACTTTCTGAAGCATAACACAATCTTGTATATTTTATATATAGGTCCATTATTATGAAGATGGCAATGTACAATTAGTTAGCCATAAAGATGTTGAAGAATCATTAACCGTGTCTGTAAGTATGTTCTTAACATATCCAGATCACATAGCATAAAGTTTTGTGTTTTCATTAATATAATGGGAATATCCCTCCAGCTTAGGGTAGCAGGCTGACTCAAATGCTATTTACTTTTTTTTTTTTTTTCCAGAGACTTAATCTAGCCACAGTTTACACCCACTGATTGTACAATGCACTACTAAGTTGGGTTAAAATAAAAATCTTTAAAATGTAAAAAATGTATTATTAACCGCCTCCCGTCCGCCATATAAGGAAATGAAGAGCGCAAGGCAGTTCTCTCGTTCTGGGAGGACGAGCGCGGCGATCGGTGGTGCGCTGTGTCCTTGGGAAAGACCCGAAGACGTCGGCTCTGTCACATGATCAACTGTGTCCAATCACAGCTGATCGCATGTAAATAAGGAAATGCCGGTTATCGGCATTTATCTCTCCCACGAGCTGTCACTCTGACAGTTCGTGAGGAGAGGAAAGTCGGTAATCAGCATTACTCAGAGGGGACATGTACATTGATCATCAGGGCACTGATGATCAGTGTGTCCTGATGATCAGTGTAGCCCCATCAGTGCCACCTGTCAGTGCTCATCAATGCCACATATCAGTGCCTTCCAGTGCACATCGATGCCACAGTGCCCATCTGAGCTGCCTTTCAGTGCCACACTCAATGCCAGTCAGTGCCACATATCAGTGCCCATCAATGATGCCTATCAGTGCCACCTACCAGTGCCTCCTCATCTGTGCAGCCTATCAGTGTCCATCACTGCAGCCTCATTATCGCACATCAGTGAAGGAGAAAAATCACTTATTTACAAAATTTTATAACAGAAACTAAGAAACAACTTATTTTTTTCAAAATTGTCAGTTTTTTTGGTTTGTTTAGAAAAAAATAAAAAACCCAGAGTTGATTAAATACCACCAAAAGAAAGTACAGTCTTGCATGGCCGCGCAATTGTCATTCATAGTGCGACAGCACTGAAAGCTGAAAATTGGCCTGGGCAGGAAGGGGGGTATAAGTGCCCTGTAGGCAAGTTGTTAAAGATTGTATTCATCTTACAGCTTGCTTTGATCTGGACATTTTCTGAGTTTAGAGAGGAAATTCAAAGTACATTTTATTTCAATAGTGACGTAGACTGTAGTGTTTAGTTGGCTACAACCAACATTTTCCATTACTGATGAGTAAGAAGTTTTAATGTTGTCACCAAAAAGATCAATAACATTATCCAGGGAACTATGAATACATTTTTTTTATCATATGGGAGACCTTAAGTCAAGTCTGAGCTTTTTTAAAATTCAGAACAGCTATTTGTAAAATATTTGAATTCTTGGGTCATTTTGAGTGTAAAAAAAAAAAAAAAAAATTCTCAATTCATTTTTATAATATAGTCATGTATTTACAAGGATGACATAGTTTTTCCTCACAATCAGAATAGAAAATGTCTAAGAATGGCACTGGAGGATTAGTAATAAGCCTTTTCATAAGCCCTCTGAAATGACTAGTTTCAGGTGGTGATCCATGTGAAGCAAATCCTCCCAATGTAATCCGCACTTCTTTATCTACAGCCCACTCTCCTCCAGAGCCCTCCAAATCACACAGATCAGATGGTGGTATTTCTTAAGGATCAGGTGGTGTGGGGGGGGCTCACACATGTGCAGACAAACACATATACACACACTCCACAGCACAGAGCTAAGTGTAATCTGACACATGAGTGGATGGAATGGACACACCACCTCTACACACCCTCACTGAGAAACTTGCACAACTGAGGCTGTCATTCATCTGTCTGGTGCTGGGGGAGGGGGGGGATGTATCACCATAGTGTGTGAGATAGAACTGCCAGAAGTGACACATGCAGATTGCAGAGGAAGGAGAGAGCAAACAGGATTCACACTAGGTGCTGTGTATGGAGGTAAGTATACTTTATACAGGGATATGCTTTTTCTTTTCATTTCAGAGATTTACAACAACTTTAAAACATCGCACTGTGGTAATCTATAGCATTTGTTGAGAAATTAGTTGAGTAAGATCAATTGCATAAATATTGATAACTAGTTACAATGGATTACTTTTCATGTTGCTTTCCTGAATTGTGTAATTCAGGATTGCAAGATAAAATGGGTCTTGCATACGAGTACAATTGTTACTTACGACATATTATTCTATATTGAAATATTGTGACTACATATTGTATTGGTTTGATAATATGAGTCTGCATGTCAACACCTGCCTTAGTATTTCATGGATGGTTGGCTGTCGTAATAAAGTGCTGCTCAAAGAAAATTGGATCATGGGATGATAATTGTGATACTTTGATATAATATATCTTTCAGAATGAAATTCAAACTTCAAAGGAGTTCATAAAAAATTATAGAGGATGCTGAAAATGAATACCAGGTATGTCTCAGTTATGGCTTCAAGATTTTGGTACTGTGAAAAAGTAAACAAATATATAAATCAAAATCCAAATATTTCTTTAACCCCTTCCTGCCAGCCTCTCAGCCCTTTAAGAGTTCTAAAAGCTGTGAGGAGGGCCTTTGGGTTATGGGCGATGCAAGTATGCATTGGGAGTTTACTGATTTCCGCTGACTACCATGTTCAGAGCGCGCTCTCAGCCCACCCACCAAGAGGCCACATATATGCGTGTGGCCGGCGGGAAGGTGTTAAAGGTATTAAACTCAAAAATTGTATTTATTGCAGCTTGCTAGTCATATGTGGTGGTTGCATCAGTTTCTTTTTTTTTTTTTTTTGGCTTTTCCGCACTGTTTTAACCTGGTGATCTGGCCACTAACATACCTCCTTTATTAGTGAGACACCACTCTGGATGAATGAGCATAGGAGGCAAAGCAGGCAACAGCATTGTCAGTCTGGGGGAAAGGGGATGGTTAAATATATTAGCAGATATAAATACAAATGAATCTGAACTCCAGCTAACACTTTAGACCTCATGCACACAGAGCGTTTTTGCAGCCACTTTTAGGGGCTTCAGGCTTCTTTTGTTTTTTGGGGGGGTTTTTTTTTACTGTTTCCAAATGGCCCTCCATATTATTTTATGTGTGCACACATAGACAGAAGCTTTTAGTAGTAGTAGCGTTTACCAGCAAGAAAAAAAAAAACCCAGTGCCTCCAGGAGCAGCAGCATTTTGGCAGAAAAAAATGCTGACCGCTCCTAGTCTCTACTAAACTCTCCTAAACACCGGTGCCTAGCGCTTGGCAAAGTTTTTCTTCACTGGTTGTTGAGAGGACCGGGAAGCCATCCGCCTCGTCCTTTAACAACGGATGAGTCATCAGCTGTCAACGGGGTACCCTGCTGACAGCTGAATGTAAAAAAAAAAAAAAAAAACATTGCCGGCAATAAATTGTGGGGAAAAAAAAAAAAACGCAATGGGGGGTCACACCCCCCAATCCTTACAAGGCCCTTTGGGTCTGTTATGGATTTTAAGAGAAACCCCATGCCAAAATTAAAAATAAATAAATAAATGGTGTGGGATCCCCTCCAAAATCCATACTAGTCTCTTATCCGAGTATGCAGCCTGGCACGTCAGGGGGGGAGCGAGCGCCCCTCCTCCTGAATCATACCAGGCCAAATGCCGCCCTCAACATGGGGGGGTGCTTTGGGGCAGCGGGTTTCCTCCCCAAAGCACCTTGTCCCCATGTAGAAAAGGACAATGGCCTCTTGCTCACAACCCTGGTCAGTGGTTGTGAGGGTCTGTGGCCAGGGGGCTTATCAGAATCTGGAAGCCCCCTTTAACAATGGGGCCCCCAGATCCCGGCTTCCCCCCTATGTGAATGAATATGAGGTACACAGTACCCCTACTCATCAAATAAGCGTAAAAAGTAAAAAAAATCGCCAGTTTTTGACAAGTCCTTTATTAAAATAAAAAAAAGAACGTCTGCTGGTGTAAATCCATCCTCAATCATGACGCCCGCCACCACTGCTGACCCGGGGGGGAACTCTGGTCCTGACAAAGGCTCCCTTCACCACCTTGTCTGACATCACTGATCCAGCATGCCCTGGGTCAGTGACGCCATTTTTTTAAAATCATTCAATACATTTTTAGTGTGGGTTTCCCCTTAAGATCCATATCAGACCCAAAGGGCCTGGTATGGATTGGGGGTGGGAACTCTCCTTAACGGCCCAGCTTCTTAACTCTGAAACTGCTAATCGTAGCTTACACACTAGGCTAAACGCTGTTCGACGCCAGCAAAAAAAAACGAAAACATTAGCATTTTTTTTGTCCAGCATTTCTAAAGCAGTTTTTAGCTTTTCTAGTGTGCATGAGACCTTATAATCAATTGCAACAAACTGATTTTTTCCTTTTGGGGTAAAGGTTTTAGATGATTAAGTAAAAGCTGACCATTTTATTTGCCTCTGCCAGTTTTAAATGGTTTGCCTCATCCATGTAAACTGATACATTCTGCTGAAGAGTCTGAGCTTTTGAAAAACAATAGACTTGCTGGCTGAATCACCAGATGAAAACCTAAAAAAGAAAATGAATACAGCCAGTATTCCTAAGAATTGGTAAGCTGCAATATGTCTGCTTATGGATTAAAATTTTGCTTCAGGACTGTGTTACTTATTTGAGCTTAAAGTGTTACTAAACCCCACAAAGGTAAAATCGGTCTGTATATGCAGTAAAACATGCTTGTTAAACTCACTGTGGAACCTAAGGGGTTAATCCTCTGCATTGTATAAAAACACTGTTTGATCCTGACTTCTCTGATCCTCCTCTTCTTCCAGTGTCCCCCTGCTGATAAGACATATTGTGCGGAGTCATTCTGCACATGCTCAGTTTGGTGTATATTGCTAGAGAGGTTTGCTTTTTCTTGGGAGAGTTCATGTGATCAGCACAGGGCAAGTCAGCACTGTTCAGACAGTGGTCAGGGGTTCTGTATCTTCCTAGAGCAAAATGAAAACTCCTACAAGCTTTAACCAGTGCTCAGCTAAACACTGATAGAAGTCACAAGACTGCTTTAACTGCTGATGAGAAAAGGTATTTAGCCTTTTATATTTACTATAATAATTGCACTTCCATGTTTTGTGTACCGTGGGAGACCAAGTAAAGCGAATGCAGGGTCCTGGGTTTAGTAACACTTTAACATTTTAAGTATTGGTGCTCTCATGCAATGAAAAAAAAATTCTTTGTCATTCTTAATTAAATTTGAAATGAGTTATACTGCTGCCTAGAGCACATTGGACACCTGCACACAATGCTGTTAGATATAACCCCTCCCACTCTCATCAACCTCCAGATTTTTGCTAGTGCCTTAGGAGAATAGAAGCTAACCCCTATATGAAGATCCCCTTGCTCTGCAATCAAAATCTTTAATTTACTGCGGAGCCAGAGAGTTCATTTATGCTATTTTCCAGATCAGTTGATTCTCGGCATAAATACCATACAATACTCGTGCTCTATAATCTCCAGCCCACCAAATCTTTCTAAGCCACTGTATAAACATCTATCCCTCAGGATGAATATTATGTAAAACATAAACCAGCACTATAAAGAATATTTGCATGTCACATCAAACCGCTAATAAATAGCCAATATATTAAACCACATAAAAGTGCATATAATTTCTAACACAATTATTTCAGTGATAAACACGTACGTGTTAACGTACCCATGCACCAACACTTAATGTATTAATAAATAATGAACAGTATATGGTAGTTCATAGAAAGTTCTTTAGGGAGTATATCCACCATATGCCAGATATTACTTATTCCTGAATCCTTTACCTTCATCCACCGCGTCTGCAAATATAGCGCGCTCTCCAAATTTTATGACCTTTTTTATCTTGAACATGGTTATAGACCACCTGATGGTAATAAGGTTCCAGCACCCCTCTGTGCAGGTCATTTTAAATGTGGACCTAGCCATGCTCTGTCTTAACAAGACCTTTAGAGGACATTCCAGTGTTTTTATGATCAAGTAGATAAGACTGGAAGCCCTTTGTTAAGCCTTATTTTTCATGAATTATGTTGTCAGGTCTGCCAACATCCCAGCAAAGACTAGCTGTTCTCCACATGGTTTTGGCATAACTCCTGTCGCACAAAGCGATTGCTGTTTAGTAACAAAAAGGATTCAGGGTTTCCAATCAAATCTGTTCACTGTTTACAAGCAAAAGGGGGAATTCACCCCATTCTGGACCTAAAGGCTCTCAATGTCATCATTTGAGCACAAAAATTCCACACAGAACCTATCAAATTAGTAATTGCTTCCCTCTGTCTAGGGGACCTTCTATTCTCTCTGGATATCAAGGATGCCTACTTTCATATCCCCATTTTCCTGTGTCAGTGCTACCACTGTATTGCTCTTCTATTCGGTCTGTCCACTGCACCTTGAGGATTCACCAAGCTGTTTGCTCCTGTACTTGCTCTGCTTTGTTTACAGGGCATGCCCATAGTGGGATACCTAGACAAACTTCTTTTAGAAGGATCAGTCCCCGCAGGCCTTGTCTGCCAAAGTCCATCAAGCTGTTTAGACCCTGCAGTTGAAGGGTCAATCCTTTGCTTTTGCATGGGGGTTCTGGGCTTGATGGTTGCCACTTCCTAGGCAAATCTGTATGCTCAAGGTAAAGTCACTGGACAGACGAATGTGCCTGACACCCAGGGCTAGGTTATCTCTGACCTAGTGACTCAAGAATCCAGCACTACTGTCAGGGAAATCCTTCCTTTTCATCAGTCTGGAAGATTCTGACAAATGAATTTCACAGGTTGAGAAGGAGCCCTAGACACCCTTTCTATGCAGGGGACTTGGTTGTTGGAAGAAAGTATCACCTCCCATTTGACATGCTGGAGCTCTGAGGAATTTAGTCAGAAGTCTTTCGGCTCAAATAAGCTGAATGGATTCTGATTTGGGTGGAGCTTTATTTTCTGTCCCTGTCCACCATGCACATTGCAGACATAGAAAATTGGAAAATGGACTCTCCATCATCAATATATCACTCCGGGGAGTGGTCTCTCACTGGAGGTTTTACTCGGTTTACTCCTTAGATGGGGAGTGCCGGACGTGGACGTCGTGTCTTCCAGATTTCACCCCAGACTGAGTAGGTTTTCCTTCAGGTCAAGGGACCCTCTAGCCATAGCAGTGGATACCCTGGTGACTACATGAAATCTTATACTTGATCTACACCTTTCCCCCTATGAAGCCTCTTCTTCGATTGCGTCACAGAATCAGAACAGAGTACATTTTGATGATTATCATTGCACTGAGGTTGCTCAAAATCATCTGGTACTCTGACTTCATCAGACTCTCTATGGGCTCCTCTGCCCTGGTTTACCATACTACGTCATGACTATTTCATAATTGCTGGCTTTATTGGCATACAACCCCTGGCAAAAAGTATGGAATCACCGCTCTTGGAAAATGTTCATTCAATTACTTGTGTAG